TTAAATAACAGGAATTTATTTTTCCCCGTTTTGGAGGTTGGGAAGTCTAAGCTTAGTGATTCAGTTCCCAAGTGAGGGCTCTCTTCTGGGTTTGCAGATGGCTGCCTTCTCACTGTGTCCTCATATAGTGGAGAGAGAAAGAGAAGCAAGCTTCTTATCTCTGTTATCTCTTCTTATAAGGGCACTAATCTCATCATAAGAGCCCTATCTTCATGACCTTATCTAAACCTAATTAGTTCCAAAAAGGCTTATCTTCAACCCACATAGCATTGGGGTTTAGGGCTTCAACATGTGTATTTGAGGAAGAGACACAAACATACAGTCCATAACACTGTAAGACCCAGCAATACTACTTTTAGATAATTACTCTAGAGAAATAAAAACTTGTGTTCATGCAAAGCCCTGTCCATAAATATTCAAGTAGCTCTATTCATCATTGCCCGAATCCAGAAACAACCTAAAAGTCCTTTGATGACTAAATAGATAAACAAGCTGTGGCACTTACAGTAAAATACTACTCAGCAATAAAAGGAACCACTGAGATATGCAACAACATAGATGAATCTTAAAGTCAGTATGCTGAATGAAAAGTTAAAGGCATTATGCTGAGCAAAAGTTATGTAAAGGGTTGCACACTTGATGATTTCATTTATGATGTTTTATGGAAAAGTCAAAACTGTTTTGATGGATAATAAATCAATGGTTGCCACTGGTTAGAGATGTAGGAAAATTATGAGTACATCCTAAGGGAATTTTATGGAATGATGGAACTATACTGTATCGTGATTTTGGTTCACAAATCTATACATATGTTAAAACTGACAGTATATATCAAAAAAGGCAATGTTACTATATATATTAATTTTTTAAAGGAGCAGAACTTCATGAAATAGAGAACAAATACTTGAGCAAATAAAGAAGTTGATTCTCTGAGAGATTAATAATATTTATAAACTTTAAGCAAAATTGATTTAAAAAAACAAAAACAAATTACCAATTTCAGGAATGAAAGGAGGGTCCTCACGACTGGTCCTGTAGACATTAAAAGGATACTCAGGAAATACTACGAATAACTTCATGCCAATAAATTTGACAACATATATGAATTAGATGCATTTCTTTTAAAAATATTTTTAATTGATTTTAGAGAGAGGAAGGGGGATGGAAAAAGAGAGAAAGAGAAACATTGATTTATTGCTCCACCCATTTATGCATTCATTGGTTGATTCTTGTTTGTGCCCTGGCCAGGGATTTAACCAGCAACCATGGCATTTTGGGACAATTCTCTAACCAACTGAGATACCAAACCAGGGAAAATTAAATACATTTCTTGAAAGACAAAACTATTTCCCGTTACATCTCATTGACCAGAACAGAATAATATAGCCATTCCCAGTTGCCAGGGAGGCGAAGTGAGTAACTGGCACAGGGAAACAATGGCCATGGATGGCTCAGCTCAGTCACAACATACTGCCTGTGGCTGGGCGCAGGGCGGCCTGCCTCCCACTCCCAAATCCAAAAAGTTGGAGGTGTATTACAAGTGATGGGAGTGCTTTGTGTAGGAAGCTAATAATGTCTGCCACAGTTAGGTTTTTAGTCCCTTGCAAACAAAAGATTCCTGGCACAGTGTACTTATCAGCTACAATAAAACAGTCTTTAATCAGTGTACTTAAAGTTCCTGGAGGGAAAAACTTTTGAAGTGACGGATGGGACCGAGAGCTCCCAAATAATTGTTAGAGAAAAGCCTAGAAAAGATTATTCTTGGACGAAACTGATAACACCATACCTGAAGGTCTGTGCTTCTCTTCCAAAGTGAAAACTTCTCTTCCTCCACCTCAGGGTGCCCTCCTTACTCCTCAGCACACTGCCTCATTTAGGTTTCCTGCTCACACTCTCTTCTACTTTACTGAATCACTTCTCCACTGCCTTGTAAATACTTTTTGTTTTTCCTTGTCTATCTCCTTAAGGAGATGGTGATACTAAAAGAAGAAATCATGACTTCACTCTAGCTGATGTGGCTCAGCGGACTGAGGTCCGGCCTGTAACCCAAAGGGTCATTGGTCTGATTCCTAGGTAGGGCACATGCCTGGGTTGCAGGCCAGGTCCCCAGGAGGAGGCATGAGAGAGGCAACCATACAGTGATGTTTCTCTCTCCCTTTTCTCCCTCCCTTCCCCTCTAAGAATAAATAAATAAAATCTTAAAAAAGAAATAATAACTTCATTTTAGTTATCTTTAGTTCTCTGGAACCTATGTAATACCTGGTTTTTAGTTTTTTTGTTTGCTTGGTCTGTTTTTCTTTTATACAATAAATGAGATCATTTTAAGGCAAAGTTGAAAGTTTTGGCTGGCAAAGAAACAATGAGTCCTTTTTAGATTTAGACAGATTATTATTTACACAGACAGTGAAAGCAAGATTAGCTAAAAGTATCAGTCCCTCATGAAATTCTGTCTCACACACTGAAAGGACGACACTGAAACAAAAGGAACCAGATGACTGCAACATGAATTGTGGACTGCCTTGGTGCTGAGGGGCTAAGGCCATGCTGCATCTAAGCCTTTTCATAGTCTGCAGTTGTACAGAAGGGGGTGGTGCGGGGGGTGGTGGGAAGCAAAAAGCCTTAATCACAACCCAGGACGCAGTGAGAAATTGTCTCATGACAACCTCCTTGGAAGACCTGCAATTGAGTGGCAAATGGCCTTGTAGCAGCTATTTACAAACCCCTCATGCTCTCATGTTCCGGGAGGGTCACACAGTGTTCTGCCAAGACTCAGATCAGCTGCTGTGGCCTATGTAGATATGTCCAAGGTTGTCCAGTGCTGGCATGAAGCTATTCTCTACACTCAGCTTGCTCAGGGGAACAAGATGCTCTATCTTGACTAGATTATTATTTTTTAAATGTATGAGAGAGAGAGAGAGAGAGAGAGAGAGAGAGAGAAAGAGAGAGAGACTGATTTGCTGTTCTACCCATCCATGCATTCACTGGTTGCCTCTTGTATGTGACCTGACCAGAGACTGAACCCGCAGTCTTGGTGTGTGGGGATGATGCTCTAACGAACAGAGCTACCAGGTCAGGGCTTGACTAGATGTTTAAGCTGGCTTCAATGACCACGGTTCAGAAAAGAGTCCATGTAGTGGGGCTCAGAAGAATGGTGTTTCAAAGAGGTGGCAGTCTGTGTCCTCAAAAGAGGAAAACCTCATTGTGGTTTCCATTTATCCCCTTAGAAAGAATTGAGAATTATACAACAGAATCCCAGCAGAGTTTTGTAAAATTTTGCAACATTTTTAACTTCCTTAAGTATTTTTATTTGATGATCTTTTCTGTTTTCTGACATTAATTATATATAAAACCTCTTAAAGTAAAATAAAACAAAAGGCCCTGAGCTAGCCTTTAGGGTCACCAAAGAGGGAAAGGTGATAAAAGCAGCCAAGCAGATTGGTGGCAGTAGCCAAGCAGGGGACTGAAAAAGCTGGATTTCTGAATCCTCCTAAATGAAGAAAGAAGAGAATCAGAGTTAGCAGGGGTTCTGGGGAGATGAAGTTTGGGTCACAGTACAAAGTAGTGCTATACCATCAGCTGCTCGTTAACTTGCCCTCTCATTCACAAACTGATCAGAGGCTGAGGGCACTTTGTGGAGGGCACTTTCCTGAATTAGGAAGAGAACCAAAGCCTGAAGACCTTGCAATGCTTCTGGAAGACTGGGCTTGCACTTCTAACACAGACCTTAAACAACGGGACTCTTGTGTGTGGTTTCTGATGCCTGACATGTGACCTAGCAAAGACACCAATGAAGCCAGCACAATTCATTCATTTATTCAACAAATATTTATTAAGTTCTCTATAAACCCAGCTGTCAGCATCCTATGACTTGGGTGGGGATACTGTGTTGAACAAGACAGAGAAGTTTCCTGCCCTTCTAGGGCATTTAAAAACAAAACAAAACAAAAAGTGGAAATGAATAAATCAAATCAATTTTAATATTGCTACATAGTGTGGGAAGGCTTCCAGGAGGAAAGGTGGTCAGTGAGGCTGAGAATCCTAGGCCAAGCTGAGCCTAAGCTGAGGTCAGACAGGGAAGATAGGGAACAGGCCAAAGTAAGAAGTTTTTATGTTATACCTAAGATAGTGGGAATCCATTTAAGGCCTTCATTTTATTTTTTAAAAAGATTTTACTTATTTATTTATTTTTAGAGGAGGGAAGAGAGAGAGAGAGGAGAGAAACCCTGATATGAGAGAGAAACGGGCCGCTTTGCAGAAAATCTCCCGACCAACTGTACCACAGTGGTCAGAGCTTGAAGGCCTTTAAGTAGGAAATAAAGTAGTCTGATTTACATTATTAAATGATCACTTCAGCAGCTGTTTTGTGGTATAAAATGGGCAGCCTAAATTAGTCAGATGACCACGAATTTTACAAATTCAATGTGAGATTATTCCCAGAGCTCTAATCTGTCTCATCTTGTTTCCCTAATAGATAAATCGGTCAAAATAAAGTTCTGTGGCATAGCCAGCGGGAGCCAAAGTTTGGAGTCATGCATTGGTTTCGAATCCTACTTCTCACTTATTAGTTATGAGTTCTTGGCAGGTTATTTACTATGCATTCATTAGCAGTGAAATGGGGATAATAGAAGTTCCTACAGCATACAGTTGTGAAAATTAATGGCAATATATGTAAAGTTTGGTGACAGTGCCTGGCACAATGTAGTAAGCATTTATAAATCTAAGTTTTTATTCTTTCAGAGGATTACTGTGAAGATCACGAGAAAATGCATGTGAAAGGGTTTGTGAAACCATAAAGACTATCTTAATGGCAGAATTGTCTCTTTCTTTAACTTATCTTTTAAGCGGAACACAGAACGTGGGGCTACCCGAGGAAGGAGGCACTAGGCCAAACTCAGTCTCAAAGCGGTCATTGTCATTAGGCCGCCCTTCCCCCGCGCGGAGCACATCTCCATAGCAACGCGGGGCTTCGCCTCCCTCCGCCTCCTGGGGCCCGCAGACCGGAAACAGCCCGCGCCGGGGGCTTCTGGGAAACGGCTTGTGAGTGGCGTTTCTGCGTCTGCTCTGGACAGCGAAGCTGCTGCGGTTCCTGAGCCGGAGGTTTGCGCCAGAGTGGAGAAAAGGGTGTGCGGGGTACGCTGGGATAAGGGCTGCGGATCGCTTGGAAGGAGCTAGCGAAGAAACTTGGTGGGGACCTTCCTCGAGTCCCCGGGAGGTGCAGGGGACAGGCCACGGACTTCGTGCTCAGCAGTTGCAGCGCGCGGAGGGGTAGACGAAAAGCCTGATAGGGCTTTCGGCACCTTCCGATGGTCCTTCTTCTTCCTTGTCCTCCTAGACCCTCGTCTTTCCCTTCCCCCCTCAGCCGGTTTTGTTCTATTCCGAGGCCCTGGTGTCTCGCGGAGAGTTCTGGGACTCAGTTCGGGCGGAGGTGGGGAAGGGCGGGCCTTGCGCTAGTGCTGCTGGGACTTGTAGTTCCATCGGCTGCGGGGGAAGTGGTGTTGCCCAGATGTTAACGTGCCAGAGTGGCCGTGGATCATCTGAAATCTGTGGCTGTGAGTGCGGCGAGGCCGGAGGAAATCGGGGCAAGGGCGGGGGCGGGGTTCGCAGCGGCACTCTGCAGGAATGAGGTAGGGAGATCACCCAAACAGGGCTCCCCACGCAAACTGTCAGGACCCCGGGCCTGCCCTCTCAGCAGCTCATTCATGTCCCACGAGCAGGGTGCTGGATGAGAACATAGAAGGAAAAGAAATTTCTTCTATATAGAACGCTTGAACCATTGACAAGGTAGGAATAGGAACGAACAAATCTGTTGGCTAAACCTTACGTATAAGACTACCACCACACTCAAGAGTACTTAAACTTCTGAGTATTACCTGATAAGGTCTTTTCTGATCCTAGCCTTGATCTTGATAGGGTTATACTTAATTTTTTGAAATTACTGGTTTTCAGATTCTAGGTCCTGAATAGATACATTGAGTAACTGCATCATCCACTCCTGATACGTGTTGTAAGCAATGGTATGGGCATGACTGTGCAAATACTAAGGAAATGATCAGAAATAGCACAGGTTTCCCTGATGGAAGAAGCTGGGAAAACTGTGAGTCATAAGTGCAAGGGCAAGATTCTGGGTGACTGCAGGAAGTTAAGGTGGTTATGAGAGTGCCTTTCCTAGCCTTTTCTGTGATTAATGCCTGTCACATGTAAATGTAATTATGTTGTGGTGAGTGAATAATATTTTCATTGTATGGCACCGGAGGCTAAGTTTTTTCAATAACACGTTATCTGTTTCTGAGCAACTGAATAGTTTTTTACATACATTTTAAGTGTAGGGAGTTCTTAAACATTTTAAAAATATTTTTTAACTTAAAAAATTTTTTGTCTTGAAATTTTTTTTCTCAAGCAGGTAATAAAAAAGCATCCTTGTTTTTGAGTTGACCTGAGTGTGTCAGGGAACACTAGTCTTGAATTGCAAATAATGTTTCAGGATCAGATGCATTTAGAGAACACTGAGGTGGGCTGGTTCTTACTTGGATTTTTTTGATTATTGAAATAGGGTGTGTTGATTTTTATAGGACAAATTTTTTTCTAAAAGGCCAGGTAGTGCTCTGGCTGGTGTGACTCTGTGGATTGAGAGCTGGCCTGCACCATGAAAGGTCAGCGGTTTGATACCCAGTCAGGGCATGTGCCTGGGTTGCGGGCCAGGTCCCCAGTTCAGGGCCTGAAGCCCATCACTGGCATATCAGTGTTTCTCTCCCTCCCCTCCCCCCTCTCTAAAAGTAAATAAAATCTTTAAAAAAAAAAAAGCCAGACAGCAAATATTAGTGTTTTCAGGCCATATAGTCTCTGTGGCAACCATTCAATTCTGCCATTGTAGTGTGAACTGTGAACAAATAAAATAATTTAGGGACACAGACATTTTAATATCATATCATTTTCACATGTCATGAAGTATTCTTTTTATTTTTTTCAACCATGTAAAAATGTGAAAATTGTTCTTAATACTAGTGTTGTGCAAAAACGGACAACAGGCCAGATTTGGCCGTGAGCTGTAGTTTGCCACCTTCTGGTATAGGTTATTAATGGGAGTTTTTAATTCAGTAAAAGAAGTATTCTTACTTCCTTCATCAATGTATGTCCAATTTCTTAGGCTATCTGGTCATTTATATATTTTTTATTTTTTGTGCCTCAGGTTTGCCTGTGAAGAAAACGAGGTATTTCCCTGAGGCCTGTATCCTGCCTTGATTGTTTTTTCTTGAAGTCTTATAAATCAGGATGTCTGCACAATCAGTGGAAGAAGATTCAATACTTATCATCCCCACTCCAGATGAAGAGGAAAAGATTTTGAGAGTGAAGTTGGAGGAGGATCCTGATGGTGAAGAGGGATCGAGTATTCCCTGGAACCATCTTCCTGACCCAGAGGTTTTCCGACAGCGATTCAGGCAGTTTGGATACCAGGATTCACCTGGGCCCCGTGAAGCTGTGAGCCAGCTTCGAGAACTTTGCCGTCTCTGGCTCAGGCCAGAGACACACACAAAAGAACAAATCTTGGAGCTAGTAGTGCTGGAGCAGTTTGTTGCCATCCTCCCCAAAGAGCTGCAGACTTGGGTTCGAGAGCATCATCCAGAGAACGGAGAGGAGGCAGTGACAGTGCTGGAGGATTTAGAGAGTGAACTAGATGACCCTGGACAGCCGGTGAGCCTGCTTGTGTCACTTTTCCTGGGTCAGAAGCACTGGCCTGCCAGTAGGCAGAGCTGCTGAATGAACTCCACTCAGCTGCAGCATATGTTTTATATGGTTCCTTTTATGTGCAGTTAGTTCTGATTCTCACAAAATTCCCTGGTTTCTTTTATGTGCAGTTAGTTCTGATTCTCATCAAATTCCCTGGTTTCTTTTATGTGCAGTTAGTTCTGATTCTCATCAAATTCCCTATCAACTGAACCAGATTTTATTTCCAGGTTTCTCTCCGTCGACGAAAACGGGAAGTGCTGGTAGAGGAGATTGTATCTCAAGAGGAAGCTCAGGGATTACCAAGTTCTGAGCTTGATGCTGTGGAAAACCAGCTCAAGTGGGCATCCTGGGAGCTCCATTCCCTAAGGCACTGTGGTGAGGACCAGAATTTCATGTGGGTACAGGGTGAAAGAGTGTGGGCCTCTTGTCCAGAACCCTTTGCTTATTCTTTTGTGTGTATGTGAGTGATTTCCTAAGACTGGGTACATTGTAGGAGCTTGATTCTTTGCTCAGAACAACTGGTTTGCTGACCTCATGTCTGTTATTCCTAGACATTAACTTCAGCCTTTTCTTCCCTTTCACCTCTCTCAAAGGCCTCCCCATTTCAGGTGGGTTGGCATTTGCCTTACTGAGCCAGTACCTGCCTGCAGACCAGGTCCCTGTATTTTGCGTGCAGTATTGCATTTTGGAAACCTGATCCATGTCCTTTCAATCTCTTGTCTAATCTTACTGGTATAATAAACTTCCCTGAAGCCTATTCACGTCTGTTTTATTTGTTATTTATTACTGAAGTTTTTCTAAATTTTCAGCTATTTTTTTTTCCTCTTCAATATCCTATGTAGAGGTGCTTTTTCTAAGAAGATTCTTTTGTAGAAATGGTATTTGGGTAAAGCTATTTACCTTTTCTATGTATTTATGTAAAAATAGGCTCCCTAGCTATAATAAGCTTTAAATACAGAAAAATTAGACTAGTCTTTCCCAATATATTGGCAATCAATGCCATATACTTATTTGTATACTTTGATACAACTCACTTTACTCCTAAAACTACTGGATATCTTTTTTTATATTTATATGAATGGAAATGAACTTTATATGAGGCTGCTTTGGGGATCATTCCTTGAGGTAGTTGGAGATCACACTGGAGTGTCACAGAATGAGGTCTGAGCAGATTTTCTTCCCATTTGAGGGTGACAGTATGTGGATAAATTGGAACTTCTGGTGTGGAGGCTGAAGTCTGCTGAAAATCTGCAATTTTAGTGTTTCATAGGACATACTTCTGTGTAGTGAAGTTTGCAAACTACTATCTTTGGTTTGTGGGTGGCATTTTCTTGGATAGAATACATCTCCCCTACCTGAATTTTAGAATACTTTTCATCTGTTTTTAAGTACCTCATTTCAGCAGTCTAGTCTCTACCACGCTTGAGAACTTCTTACTGTGCAATGTGTCTCCACTTAACCTTCACATGCCTCTGTTCTTCAAGTCTCCAGATCTCACTAGTCCCCTCCACCCCTTCAGTCTCTCTTTCTCAGCCTTCCCCCCGGACTTTATCCCTTTCTTAGTCATTCTTTATAGGCCTACTCACTACCACTTTTCTGAGTGCTGCTCACCCTGTACTCTAACTGTCTTGACTTTTCATGGCTTGAAGTTTCAGGGAGGTCTTAAATGAGACTTGCTCATGTGGCTGTCGGCTGATGTCATGGTACCTCATGCTGGTAATTAAGGCTTTTCTTTCACTAGACACATCTAACTAAGACTAAGAAGTAAGGAGTCATCTAGTTGCCATGAGAGATACCTAATAGGGCAAGTTTCTTTTACAGGAAAACTTTTCATTTATTAAGGGCATGTTGAATTTGTAAGTGTCACGGCCTGAGCTAAGACATGATGCTCCCAGGTTATCTTCAGCCCCTTCTTGTCAGACCTCCTCCTGTGTTCTCATCTTGGCTCTGACCTGCTTTGTCTTGCTCATTTCAGAAATAGTCACTTTCTGACTGCTTATATTTCACGCCATTGTATTTTGATGTAATTTCTCCCTTTTTCAAAGCAAAAGACTATTATGATTTTCTAATGGTCAGCCTTATTTTATTTGTCTTCTTTCAAAGATCCATGCAGACCTGGCTGCATTACTGTCACTGTCTTCCCAGCAGCCGTAAAATCGCACATCTTTCTGTTCTTTGTTTTCTTGTTTCAATCTATAACCCACTAGCATATGGTACTACTTTTATTCAGATTTAACTGTTTAACCCCTCATTATGTTATTTACCTCATTAGCCTCATGATCAGTCATTTCATCTTTTTTCTCTTTTGAGAGTAGGCAACCTTAACACCACTTTCAGAGTACTGTTTATAGATATATGCAAGCTATTTATTTACTCATAAGTCCATTCATTTTTTTTTTCCTTGCAGGTTCCTTTCTCCCAGAATAAAAAAATGAGTGATAATTTACATTTTCTGTTTATTTCAGATGATGATGCTAGGACTGAAAATGGAGCATTAGCTCCAAAACAGGAGATTCCTTCAGCAGTAGAATCTCATGAAGTTCCTGGCACTCTCAATATAGGTGTTCCTCAGATTTTCAAATATGGAGAAGCTTGTTTCCCTAAGGGCCGGTTTGAAAGAAAGAGAAATCCTTCTAGAAAGAAACAACATATATGTGATGAATGTGGAAAACACTTCAGTCAGGGCTCTGCACTTATTCTTCATCAAAGAATCCACAGTGGAGAGAAACCCTACGGATGTGTTGAATGTGGGAAGGCATTCAGCAGAAGTTCTATCCTTGTGCAACACCAGAGAGTCCATACTGGAGAAAAACCTTACAAATGTCTTGAATGTGGAAAAGCTTTTAGCCAGAATTCTGGGCTTATTAATCATCAGAGAATCCATACTGGGGAGAAACCTTATGAATGCGTTCAGTGTGGGAAATCCTATAGTCAAAGCTCAAATCTTTTTAGACATCAGCGAAGACACAATGCAGAAAAACTTCTGAATGTTGTGAAAGTTTAAGAAATTAAAAAAAAAAAAAAAGTCCGCACTCAGGTCTTTCTTCAGAAATGAAGAGAAAATCGAAAACATGGAATGATACATAATAGTTTGTTTTCCCTATAAAGAATGTTAGAAAATCCACTGGGAAATGTAGGAAATGGTGACCCACCATTATTATTTTATCTTGAAATGGTGTCATACCTGCCTAGAAAGTGAAATTTTAAACTTAATTCAGGTGTCAATGCTTAAATCTTCCATGTGATGTTTATATTCTTACTGCTTTCCAAATAATGATCTACTTGATTTTTTGTCCCCTTTTTAAAATTTTCCTTTGTAGGCAGATGCATTAGATCTGTGTTGATTATTGAAATGTTCTTTGCAAGGATACATTCCCTTCTACATTAAAAGACAACTTAGGAATTATGAAGTTTGAAAACTGAAACCATCTTTTCAAAATTTACTTTTCTGTTTCTTTTTTACCCAATTTGGATATGCATTTCAGAAAATAGAAGATAAAGGATGACTAAAAGCTTCAAAGTAAAATTAGAAGTGATGGTGATAAAACATCAAAAAAATGGATGGGACGCCTAAACTGGGAAAGACAAAAATACTTTGATCCAAGAATTGAAGAATTTATCTAAAATGCAATTATATGCCTGTAGGAAAACTCAAAAAGGGCGCATCCTATCTGTAATTTGGAGGCATCCCACTAATGAAAGTAATGTTCTCCCATGTATTACTAGAAAGTGGACAATCTAAACAATAATTGTAAACTTTGAAAGTAGAAGTAACACTAGGGGAGAATTTGCAGTGAATGACTGTGTTGAAAGGCAAATGTAAAAGGGTAATGGTCTATCTTGGATTTTAGAAAACAAAAAGACTTGAAGATCCAATTCATTGTTATTTTGCCTTCATTTTTGTTAAGGACAGAAAAATCCCTGACCAGGTGGGTAACAAGTATCAGGTTTGCTGTTTTATTTTGTTGGTTAAAAAATAGGGGGTTGAATTCCAGGCTAACAAAGCAGCCATGTATTCATTTATTATTAAACATTTTCTACCGACAAGGCACTGTGCTAGGTACTGTAACCCTGCCATAAGTAGGTAGGTAATTATTCCACTGTAAATTATCGGGGGTTGGTACAAAGCTGTTTCTTACGAGTTAGCCTCTTACCCTCGTCTGAGCAGTCCTGCGGGGAGGTCACCTCTGAAATTCCCAGAGCCATACTTCTCTTACCAGGGTGTTGTATTTGGGGGGAAAGGAAGACTCAGCTCAAAAAGCTAGCCATCTCCAGCATTCTTCAGAGGTGAGTCCAAAATTTATCAAGTTTGGAGGTGTGTGGGTTTTTAAAAAAACTAATCAATCATTAGTAGCATTGAGGTTGTACTTAACATGTTAAGTTGAAAGGATTGTTCTGTTTAAAAAAAAAATAGGTTATTGACAACTAGTTCATTAACTACCAGAATTGATTGAACAATTTTTTAAAAATTTTAAGTCTTAACACATTTTAAAAAATGTATAAAAGGAATACATAGTAGTAGTAGGATTATATACTCCTTGGCTGAGAATCCCAAGTACTGTGGTTCTACTGTTCAGTAGAAAACTCTGGAAGTTAAAATACAGAATCTGAGAAAAGGCTTTTTTATCGTGGGCATCATTGTGTGGAAAATGATCCATGTGAATACAAATATTTCATATTTCCAGAGATTGGGTTACAACTGGTGCTTGGATCAAATTTTAAAAATGGAAAGTAAAATTTGCATGAGCCTGTGCAAAAACATAGTAATAAATGCAAGGCCCGCTGGTGGAGAATTAGGCAGATGGAGCTTGTTTATAGGTTTTCTGATAACAATTAATTATAAGAAATGTGCTTTATAGATTAAGATTTATTGAAGTATAAATATGTAGTAATGATATAATGTATTTTAAGTTATACAAGAACATGTAGGGACTTTTCGTTTGGGTCTTTTTCTCTGTGGCTGAGAGGAAACGAGTCAATGTCCAATAAAGGTATAGACTCCTCTAAGATAAAATGATCTTGATTGCTTGCTTGATTGATTTATTGATTGATTTGTAACTGACTTCTTTCCAAGTAGGCTTTGAGGTGGCATATTTGGAATTCTGCTGGGATGACAGGATTCTTATATCAGAGTAGGTAAGAAGGGATCAAGCTCTCAGTGACTGAAATGTCATGCTTTTTAAAAATGTCTTTCTGTATACAAAGAAGCTTCCATGTGGTAGATTTGTCTTAAATGCCAAAGATGTTTGGTATAATGTGAGAGCTTAGAAAAAGTAGTATTAGAGTTGGCAAATAAGTGTTTGCCTTGCCAGCTCTGATACCTGTCGGTTGTTCAGAAAAGATTCTGAGGCTAATGCAAGGCTTTGTGGGGAAAATGGCTGGATCCATAAAACTGGCGGATGGTACACAGGAAAAGGAGGTGGTCTGTGTACTCTCTGGCTCTGATTAGGGGATGTTCCCCGTAGACAAATTGATTTAAAATAACTATTCGGTGATTTATGATTTCATCTATACCTTTATTTGTGCCCACACAGATAACCAGCAGTTCTGGGGGCTGCCCATCCTCTGATGAAGTGGTGATCTGGCAGCTGTCAAGCAGTGGCATCTGTTTGGTTAGCAAACAGGCAGTCAATGGTAATGGCATGCAGACTGCTGATACCTACCCTGTAGCCACTGAGCATTTGCTCATTACTACTAAATTTTTTTCTGGTTTTCTTGGCATTCAAGCTTCCTATGCTTACACCCAGTTGGCCCTTGATCATTTAGCAGTATGTCTAGCAATTTAAGTTGAAGGGAGGGTTATATGTATTGAAATAATCTGCATGCCAGGCATTGGATTAGAGACTATACCTATCTCACGTAGATTTGTAGACTAGAAAAGCAGGATTCAGAGATTGTGAGGCTTGCATGTGGCCAAGTAGAGCTAAAATTCAAATCTAGTTCTGTGAACTCCACGGACATATATTTTTCCACACTGCCATGAGTGGTGGCTGTTAAACCTTGATTTTAGGTTTTACCTTTTATGGTTCAGATGCTTTTATCTTTTATAGTTAACAAATGTGAAAACTATTAAATATGCTCGTTTAAATTTTCTATAGTACAGAATGTAAAGTGAAAAAATTACATTCCTTCTCATAATCTTACTAAGAAATAATAATTACTTGGTTTGTTATTCTTCCAGGACTAGACATACACAAATTTAAGCAAAAATGTGTTAATAGCTGACACTTGTGGTTTCTATAAAGGCACTGTTTGAAGTGCTTTACCATGGATTAACTCTTAATCCTCACAGCACCCATATGAGGTAGGTACACAATGCCCATTTCACATATACTGCACTGAAATTTGCCTCCTTTCCTTCCCAATTTCATGTAGACATTATTTTTCATGGCTACATATACTATTCCATTGCATGAATATACTCTAATTTATTTAAACAACCCCAGAATAATTTGGTCCCTTCCAATTTTTTATTATTAGATACAGGTATAGTTAACATCCTTGTACATATATTTTGCTGCCTGTGTGGGTACTTCTGTAGGATAAATAGAAGTGGATTTTTTTGGGTCTTAGTGTGTACATTCAGCATTTTAAGAGATGCCACCCAAAGGATCATAGCAATTTACAACTCCATCAATAGTAAGAATGCCTGTTGGCCCACACTCCCACCAATCTTGTATCCCTAAATATTTTTGCCTAATAGGCAAAAAGTATTTCCTTTTTTTATTATTATTAATAAGGAGGAACATTTCCTCATTTGTTTATTGGCCATTTGCATTTCCTATTGTGAATTTTGCTTGCCCATTTTAATTTTTTTAATTATGAAAGTATAAATGATGACCAGCTCATTGTACAAAATGTAAATGATACACACAGGTATAAGAACAAAGAGAGGACCTTTTCTGTAGCATTTCCAGTCACATTCCACTGCCCACAGTTGAGTATACATCCATCTAGTCCCCTTTCCATACATAACCATGACTATACATAAACATATAAAAGCTATTTTTATGTGAATAGGATCATATATGTATTGTTCTGCAGCTTGCTTTTTGTGTGTGTGTATGTGTGTCTCAAAAACCTATCCTGAGTTTTTTAAATTTCTTTAATGGTTGGATAGCATTTAATATTATGAAAATACCATTATTGAACTATTTTCTTATTTTTCTCTTGCTATTACATTGCCAAAGTAAATCTTTCTTTCATATATATTTGTGCATGTGTGTGAATATTTCTTTAGGATGGAGTTGTATAGAGTGGATTGTTGCATCAAAGGGTGTGCTCTCTGATAGACCCACCTTAGCCTTCCCAAAAGCCTTCATTATTATATTTACCAGCTGTGTGGAGAAGCTCATTTCCCCATTTAGCCTTACTTACACGTGCTAGTGTTATCTGGTGAGGAAAAAAAAAAGAACCCTAATTGCATTCCCTGATTAATGGTGAGGTTGAGGTTATTTTCATATGTATTGGCCATTTATAGTTTTATCATGGGTTGTTCATATCCTTTACCTGCTTTCCTATTGGGTTATGTGTGGATATATGTTGTTTTTGTTGTTCAGCATCTCTTCCCCATCTTCTGGTAACAACCCTTATTTATTGTGGGGAACCCATTCTCTGTGGCTTGGGTGAGTACCTGACCAGGTCTGGCCTTCCTGAGTTTTGCAGCTCCCTAGCCACAGTGATTAAAGAATAGGCATGTTACTCACGCCAGGCTAAAGAGAGCCCTCAACAGAACTTCTGCAGCAACTATCGGAAAGAAGGCTCTACGGAGATCCCACGAACTAAGGACTTGTGTAAGCCTGAATTTGTACCATGTGGAGTTTGAGGAGAAACTCAAAGAGAACTGAGTTCTGATATCATTTTTCTGGAGGCCCTAGTCCAGCTGTGCCTAAAGCCTGCCCTACCTCCGGACTTTAACATTTTGTGAGCCAATAAAGTCCCTTTCTTGTTTAAGATAATTGAATTGGTTTTCTGTCCTGATTAATATAGGTTATTTGTATTTTCATATTGATTTGTAGAAACCTTTGTAATTTTAAATTCTAGACTTACACTTTATGCACTATATAGGTTAATAAAATTAGCATGGCCTTCCCTGATTCGGCCTCCGTCAACCTCTGCCATTTGTTACACCGCTCTCTATACCAGGGGCCACCACTGGTCTCTGGCTCATTAGGAACTGGGCTGCGCAGCAGGCGGTGAGCGGTGGGTGGATGGTGGGTGTTGGAGCGAAACTTCATCCCCCTCCCCACCCCCTGGCATGACCACCTGAGCTCCGTTGTCCTCCCCCCGGCCCCCTGCCCTGTGGAAAAATTGTCTTCCATGAAACCAGGCCTGGTGCCGAAAAGGTCGGGGACTGCTGCTGTATACCACACACCACGCGTGTATACTGTACATACCAACAATAACTGAACATTGATGTTGGGAATGTCTGTGGATGAAGAGCTTTTCACGTAATCATGTCTTCAGGCACTTCCTATCCTTTATTACTAGGGCTCTGAGACTGGCGGTTACACTGTGAGTCTGTGCTGCACCACCTCCAACCATCGCTCGTGCCTTCCCCTCAAGTATCTCCTGTGTGTGATACTTGGGAGTCCCTCCCCATGACCGCCATCCCCCTTCCTTCCCTTCCATGGTTCTCGGGGGCGCTCATTTTCTTCTCAGTCCTGTGGGTTTGAAATGGCCCCAGCCCAAGATCTGGGGTTTACATCTATTGCTTCTTGGTGTGGTCTGGTGGGGAAAAACATTATGTATGCATGTAATGGTGAATAGTAAGGAGAAAATCAGGAAGGAAGGGATACAAAAATCAAGGAGGAAAGACACTGCAATTTGTTCAGGGAAGGTTTCACTGAGAAAGGTTTGGGGAAAGATGAATGCGTGTAAGAAAGCAAGCTGAAACTGGAGGAAAGATGTTGCAGGCATGTGAACACAAGTAGGAAGGACTGGATGTGGGAACAATGCCTCATTTGTTCAAGAAACAACAAGGAGGCTAGTGTGCCTCAAGCAGCGTGATTGTGGGGGAATATAGTAGATAATACCAGAGGGAAAAGTGGGGTGAGAGTTGTGGGCAGGGCAGATCACGGAAGACCTGGTGAGCCATTGGTGGGACTATGGCTTTTACTTTCAATAAGAAACGTGACTAGTTGCTGAGAATAGAACATAGTGTCCAGCTACCGTGTTTTCTTAAAGCCTCAAATATTTCTTTACAGACTTTATTTATGAAGGTAATAATAGGGAAAGTTTACATATAAATAAAAGGATTAATCAAATTGATAAACTTCTAGCCAGACTGATCAGGAAAATAAATAGAAGATAAAAATTATATCAGGAATGAGAGGTGCGACATTACATCATAGAAACTCATGTAAAATTTCTAGTCAAGCCCTGACTGGTGTGGCTCAGTTGAGTGTTGTCTCGCAAAGTGAAAGGTCACTAGCTCAATTCCTGGTAAGGGCACATGCCTAGGTTGTGGGTTTGGTCCCTGGCTGGGGCATGTGTGACAGGCAACTGATTGATGTTTCTCTCTTGCATCAATGTTTCTCTCCCTCCTTCCCATTTCTAAAAATAAATAAATTTTAAAGTTCTAGTCAAGTTTGTTAATCTTCATCCTGCTGATTCCAATCCTTGTTTATTTGACATTACTTGAGCCATCAGCAATATTTTGCATAATAGACATTCTCATTTGGCTTCAAGAACGACACACAGGTTTTTTCTACCTCTTGGGTGCTTCTCAGTTTCAATGCTGGTATTACTTTATTTTTATTGACTTCTATATATTGGAAAGCCTGAGGGCTCAGTGTTCAAATCTCTTTTCTGCCTGTTTCACTTCCTAGGTGATCTCATCTGGCCCTATGTCTTTTCTTTTTAATTAAAAAAAAATTTTTTTTTAGCTTATTTGTTTTATACTTTATAGCTTCTGGGTTTGAATATTTTCCTTCAGGGTAAGAAAAATATTTTGTATCTTCTAAAACTCCTTAGATTTTACATATTGATTTTTAACTCACCTGAATACTTTTTATATAATGTGTGAAATAGGGCTCAATATATATTTATTTCAAGTAATAGTGGTCCATGCAATTTATTTGTTAAGCCTTATTTTCCCCATGGATTTGAAATACCAATTTGATCATATATTGTTAGATACATACATTTGTTTCTAGAATGCTTATTTCATTGATCTACCTGATTATTTCTGTGCTGGTGTCATGTTGGTTTAATTGCTGAGACTATAATGGATTTAAAATTTTTAATATTTTATAATGGACTTTGACATCTAAAAAAATCAATCTGCATTTAAAAAAGAAGAAAATGCAACAACATAGATAGAACTGGAGAATATTATGCTAAGTGAAATAAGCCAGTTGGTGAAAGACAAATAGCATATGCTCTCATCTATAAGTGGAAACTATTCAACAAAATAACTAATGAATAAAACAAACCACAGGCATGGAGCAGACTGAAGGTGACCAGAGGGGATGGGGAAGGAGGGCAATGGTGGAAAGAAGGGGAAGGGACTAGACAATGAACATGTATGAATGACCCATGGACATGGACACCAGAGTGGGAATTGACTGTGGGAATGGGGCGAAGTGGGGTGGGATGGGTGGAGAAGGGCAAAGGGGGAAAAATTGAGACAACTGTAATAGAATAAATAGTTAAAAAATAATTTTAAAAGTAGGAATAAAAAATACTTATTTTTTTGTTCAGTTACAGTTGTCCCCATCTCCTGTTGTTCCTCCCTGCCCTGTCCAACCCCTGCTCCCAAAGACAATCCCCACCCTATTGTCCTGTCTGTGGGCCCTTTGTACATCATCCCCTTTTGTCCCCCGTTACCCTTCTCCCTCCTCCCCTCCAGTCACTGTCAGTTTGTTCTTTATTTCCATGTCTCTGGTTCTTTTTTGTTCATTTGTTTGTGTTGTTGATTAGGTTCCAATTATAGGTGAGACCATATGGTATTTGTCTTTCACCACCTGGCTTGTTTCACTGAGAACAATGCTCTCCAGTCCCTTCCATGCTGCCGTAAAGGGTAGGAGTTCTTTCTCTCTGCTGCGTACTGTTCCATTGTGTAAATGTACCACAGTTTTTTGATCCACTTATTTACTGTTGGGCACTTAAGCTATTTCTAGCACTTGGCTATTGTAAATAATGCTGCTATGAACATTGGAGTATGTAGGTTCTTTTGAATTGGTGTTTCAGGATTCTTAGGGTGTAATTCCAATGGTGGAATCGCTGGATCAAAAGGCAGTTCCATTTTTAATTTTTTGAGGAAATTCCAAACTTTTTCCACAGCGGCTGCACCAGTCTGCATTCTAGCCAACAGTGTACAGGGTTCCCTTTTCTCCACAAGCTCTCCAGTACTTGTTTGTTGATATGTTAATGATGGCCATTCTGACCCATGTGAAGTGGTCATTGTGGTTTTCATTTGCATCTCTCTGATGGCTAGTGATGCTGAGCATCCTTTCATATGCCCTGGGCCCTCTGTATGTCCTCCTTGGAGAAGTGTCTGTTCAGATCATTTGCCCATTTTTTAATTGGATCGTTTGTCTTCCTGATGTGGAGTCATATGAGTTCTATATATATTTTGGAGATCAAACCCCTGTCTGAGGTATCATTGGCAAATATGGTCTCCCATAAGCAGTTGGTTCCCTTTTTGTTTTACTGATGTTTTCTTTAGTTGTGCAGAAGGCCCCATGTCTTTGAATACTATTTCCAACTCCAAAATCTGCATCTCAGCCTAGTCCTTTTGTCTCTAGTACAGCTTTGTATTATCCCTTTGCTTACCAGTATCTCCATTTTGATACCTGCTTTACTCTGGATTCTTAAGAAAACAAAGCCTAAGATAAGAGCTTACTGCTAAAATTTAATTGGGGTGATGTAATCCCAAGAAAGGTCCACTGAGGGTAAACAGGAGGTAAAGCAAGGAAGGAGAGAACAAATGCAAGTAGTTGTTACTGTGCTGTCTACAGCTTCTAAAGAAGCACAGTAGTTTGCTTAGTCTCACTGTCTTCAGAGAGCGAATGGTATGAACTATTTCATCTTCATCTCACTGTGGGGTAGGAGGAAGGAAAAGGCATCAGACTCCCCTCTCCCTGTGGTCAGCTTCCACCACAGAGCATCCACTCATCCACTCTTTTAGGTGGCACCGTTTCACCTCTCCGGCAACAACCACTAGGAAGTCAGGCTCCAAGAAAATGCCAATAGCACAGGAGGAGTGGCAGGCCAGAGATCAGGAAGGTGGGAGTCAGTTGCTCCCTCTACCCACAGCCTCGTGGGCCTGCAACCTCAAAGGCGAATGGTGCAGACAATCTTAGGGGCTCATCAGTATCATAAACCAGAAACCCTAGCCCTGCAAATAGGAGGAGGCTTATAAACAGAGCTCTCCACAATGACTCGGGCATTTCAAGTCCAACATGTCCCATGCCCCAAAATGAACTTAATTTGTCCCCAAACTTGTTAGAATCGTCCTCATCTGAGTTGCTCAAGCCAATAGCCTCCCTGCTTTCCTGTTCGCCCTGCTTCACTCAGTTCTCAACACAGCAAGAACACGTAAGTCACCTTATTTAACATTCTTGCTCAAAATCCTCTTCTTGGCTCTATTTAAATGTCAAAGGGGCATTGTGCCTGCAACTTCAATAAATCAGGAAAAAGTGGTATGTGTTATTACAGATACATAGATATATACACATCTGGGAAGATAACCAGATATCTGGCCTAAAATGTCAGTTGTGCTGAGGTTGAGAAATCTTAAAGAATTATAGTTATTAAAAATTTTCTTAAATTGATTTTAGAGGGAGGATGAGAGGGAAACACTGATTTGTAGTTCAATTTATCTATGCATTCATCAGTTGCTTTTTGTATGTGCCCTGACGGGACTGAACCCACAACCTTGGCATATTGGGACAATGCTCTATACAACAGAGCTACCCAGCCAGCACAGATTGAAGTAATTTTTGCCAAGTTGGGATTAAACTTCAGATCTTGGAGGGTGGAGAATTTGTATATATTATTTGTAATTCTTCCATAAGAATTGGTCTCTTCTTCCATATTTATTTACATCAGTATGGACTCTTGTATATTTATTTGGTGTTGGAAGCTCTTTCAGGTTGACTCCTTTGTTCCTTTGACATGCCCCCATTGTATTGTTTTTTGAGCTCTTACTATAAGATGCTCCAGGATCATCTTATATTTTTTCCTGCCCTAGCCAAAGGAACCCTGATTGCTTTTATTTGCAGAATGCTATTTTACAAACCATGATCTGGATATACTCATTGATACTGGAGTGTCATTACTTCTAGGTCCTGTCAGAACACAGGCAAATACATACTAATCCACGTATATGCATTTTATAATTGCTTCTGTGTCTATCCATCTGTGTGTGAGAGTTCATATTGATATCTGTGACTATTCTGATAATTTTTTATTGAACACAGAATATTATACATGAAAAGTTATAGTCTCTGGATAGTCATCCTCCAGAGAGGATTCACCTTGTCTTCTAACAGGCAGTTCAATTAGGAACAGGTAATTTACTAAAAGTCTGACTTGAGATTGTTTCAGAATTTTTTTAGACTTGGACCACACTGGTTTCCTTCTTATTCCTAGAATATAGCCTTTCAATGTTCACATTGAATTGTGGGGTGATTACAAGAGCACTTCCTACTTGGCATGTTCTGTGCTCCAGTTTTTACTGTCACAATGAGTTGGCAGAGTGTTCCACTTACCCTTTCAGTGTCGTTGGGCTAGATTTCTTGGTCTTTGGCCTCACCAGATGAAGAATGCTTGGGAAAGATCAACTGGCATTAAATGTCAAGCCCATTCCCTTTTCACTCAGTATACTTCATTATTGTTTTAATTTTTAGAGGAAGTAGCATTACTTTCATAACTCATTTTCAAGTCCTAGCAAGCAATTGGATTTAGAAAACTGGAGAGAGTGAGGAGTGTAAGATCATGACGTTATTTTATCTGGATAGCAAGATGTTTAGTACAGCAATTCACCAGGATAGAGAATTGAGGAAGATAGCATGGGTATATGTGTTAAGTTCATGAATTTGAGTTTACCTTTCGGACTCAGGGAAAAAAAATGCATTGTAAGCAGTTGGCTCTGAAAATTTATTCTCTGGAGAGATGGCTAAACTTCAGATATAAATTTGATAATCCTTTTTATTCATTTTTTTCACTTTTTAAATTCTCCAAAGAACAGACAATAGTTGATTGTACACTTTTCTCCCTACTCACTTATCAACATATCATCATATCAATGCCTCCAAACTCCTCTACTTCTGGACCTCGTAATTTTATTTCCAGACTTCCAAATAGTTTTTCTTTCTGCTGTCTCTTTCCTCCTTTTAATCTTAGACTCTTCATAAAGCAGGGAGATGAACATGCCCTTCCCTGGTTCAAAGACCCAATGGCTTTCCATTATCTTAACAGCAAAATGCAATATATCTGCTTGCACCATATCTAGTATTTTTCTGTTTTATAGGTGACACTAAGCCCCAGGAAGTTTAGGTGCCTTTTTTTTTTTTTTTTTTTTTTACTGTCATACTCCTTAGCTGTGTTTTACTTCATTTTTATTTTTACCTAATTCTAAGTACATGTTCCAGTCATTATTTTCATGACATTTAAGCTGGAGGGCAGGAACTTTTTTTTTTCTTTAGCAGCATTTAGTACAGTCTCTGACACTGAATATTTATTGAATGAATTAATGACCAAGCCCCCCACTCTGCATCATTTCTAATACGTCCTTGCTTTTGTGCCTTTGTTGACTATTCCCTCCCTGTCTTTATGCTCCTATCTCATCCTTCAAAACTCAAATCTCAGCAGCTCCACAAAGCTTACCATTTTACTTCTAGTTAGAATTAAACCCTACCTCCTCTGAGCTCTTACAAGTATCTTGTCTACCTTTATGATTAAATTGAGCCATGTGTTTTCTGTATACATCAGTCTTTATCACTGTATAATACATGCTTTCATGCTTTGCTGGGACAGTGTACAAACTGTTTTGTATGTAAACTTTGTGTACACTATAAAACCTTAAAAAAGGCTTTGAACATAGTAATTTAACAAGGTCTGTTGGATTGAAGTAATTGGATAATTACGGGAGATATTCAAAGTACATGGTAGTACATAACAGAATTTTAACAAATGGTTAGTCCCAGAAAGAGAATTTGAAATTTTTATTTTTTAAAAACTGTATTTTCCAGTAGAAAACTTTGCATATATGTAGCCTATAATCAATATGTATATCAGAGATCAACAGTCTGATGAATGTTGCCACTTAAAAAAAATCAGTAGATAGGTCTTTTTATTTTTTTAAACACAAATTTTAAAGATTTTATTTATTTACTTCTAGAGAGAGGGGAAGAGAAGGAAAGAGAGAAACATTGATTGGTTGCCTCTTGCACATCCCTAACCCCACAACCAGGGACCTGTCCTACAACTCAGTCATGTGCCCTGACCCAGAATCAAACCAGCAACCCTTTCGTCCAAAAGCAGGCACTCTATCCACTGAGCCACCAGCCAGGGCAGACCTTGTTATTTTTAAGCAGATTATGCTACACAAATTAGTCATGGGAGTATTACTTTAGCTATTATTTTGTTTAATCTCTAGATGACAAATAGGGTAGTAATCTTTACACTTAGACATACGAATTTTTTAAAAAATTGTTCCACATATTTAGAAGCTGTGATTAAATGGTAGTATTGAAGAAATGACTTCAGGCCACTATAGTTTATAGGCTTCATTATTGAGAGCAAAATAAATCCATATTTGCTGTAAACATCACAGGAAGTTAAAAACTCAGGAGAACCAAAACTAGGTCAAAAATTTTTTTTGAGAAAATGGGGCACTGGAGTTATGTAGTTAATATATTTAATACCAGAACAGCATAGTATGTTCACACACGGGGGATTTAATGATAACTAGCATTGGCACCAGCTAGAACTCTCCAGCTGTCAGCAAATAGGTGTGATGTCGGAGTGAATGCCAATTAAATTATGGAAGGTATTTAAGTTTCCCCTACATTATTTAACAATTTCTCTGATATGTAATAGGTAATTTGGGCTCACTAAATGTCTGAGATCATAATATGATTATATTTCTAAGTTCTGGTTGCACATCCCACAACACTGATTTTTACAATATCTGATAAGGTTCTTAATACTGTTAACACATTTCTTAGAATGATAAAACTCTCCTCTTCTGGATTGTAGTTGAATAAGACTAGAGCTTCTCTTACATTATAGCAAATATGAATTTCTTTCCATTGTTGCTGACATACACTAAAATTTTTATTCATATTGAACATTTTCCCATAACAAGATTCCTCCTCAGAATTTTTTAAGTTCAGTACTGTCTGAGGTCTAAGTTAAACTTTCATTATAAAAATTGAATCGTTTCCTATCCACTGTGGGGTGTTTTTTGGTTTTTGTTTTTTTAATGTAGCACAAGAGTTGAGCATTGATTAAAACCTTTTTCATAATCATCAATAGCATTCACTAGATTTTTTTTCTGGTGTAGTGTCTCTGGTACTGAATAAAGTTGGTGTATACACTAAAGGTTTTCCCACATTCATCACATGTACACTGTCTTGGCCAGAATGGGCTATGTCATGATCAGCAAGTTCAGAAATTTGGGTAAAACTTCTACTGCACTGAATACCCCCGTGGGGTTTCTCCCCAGTGTGGATTCTCTGATGTTCCATAAGATCTGTGCATGTGTTGAAGGCTTTCCCACATGTATCACATTTGTATGGCTTTTCCCCAGTGTGCATTCTTTGAAGATTAATGAGATCAGAGTGCCCACTAAAGCTTTTGCCACATTGATCACGTGGATATGGTTTCTCCCCAGGGTGGATCCTCTGATGTAGGATAAGAGCTGAGCACTGACTGAAAGCCTTCCCACACTCATTACATTTATATGGCTTTTCCCTGGTGTGGATTCTCTGGTGTTTGGTAAGGTCTGAGTTCTGGCTGAAACTTTTGCTACACTGTGTGCATGGGTATGGCTTTTCTCCAGTGTGAATTCTCTGATGAAGAATAAGGTCCGAGCTCTGACTGAAGGCTTTCTCACAACTATTGCAATGATAGGGCTTTTCTCCCGAGTGTACTCTCTGATGTTTAGTGAGGTCTGAGCTTTGACTAAAACTTTTATTGCACTGATTACATGCATATGGTTTCTCTCCAGTATGTATTCTTTGATGTTTGATAAGGTCTGAACGACGACTAAAACTTTTAGTACAATCACTACATGGATAGGGTTTCTCCCCAGTGTGGATTCTCTGATGTAGAATAAGGTTGGAGCTCTGACTAAAGGTTTTCCCACATTCATCACATTCATAGGGTTTCTCACCTGTATGAATCCTCTGATGTTTAACAAGATCTGATCTTCGACTAAACATTTTACTGCACTGGTTACATGGGTAAGGCTTCTCTCCAGTGTGAATTCGCTGATGATTAATAAGATCTGAAAGTCTACTGAAGGTTTTGCTACACTGGTTACATGGATAGGGTTTCTCTCCAGTGTGAATTCTCTGGTGCAGAATAAGGACTGAGCTCTGGTTGAAAGCCTTCCCACATTCATTACATTTATATGGTTTCTCCCCGGTGTGGATTCTTCGATGTTTAATAAGGTCTGAGTTCTGACTGAAACTTTTGCTACACTGATTACATGGATATGGTTTCTCCCCAGTGTGGATTCTCTGATGCAGAATAAGATCTGAGCTCTGACTGAAGGCTTTTCCACACACATCACATTTATATGGTTTTTCACCAGTGTGGATTCTTTGATGTTTTATAACATCAGAACTCTGGCTAAAATGCTTGTTACACTGGTTACATGTATAAGGCTTCTCTCCAGTATGGATTCTCTGATGTTTAACCAGGTCTGAGCGTTGGCTAAAACTTTTACTACAATGATTGCACTGATAGGGTTTTTCTCCTGTATGGATTCTCTGATGTATAATAAGATCTGAGCTCTGGCTGAAGGCTTTCCCACATTCATCACATTTGTAAGGTTTTTCACCAGTGTGGACTCTTTGATGTTTAATAAGGTCTGAGCTCCGACTGAAATTTTTAATACACCAATTACAAGGATAAGGTTTCTCCCCAGTATGAATCCTCTGATGCAGAACCAGGGCTGAGCTCACACTAAAAGCCTTTCCACACTTATCGCATTCATAGGGTTTCTCCCAGTGAGTTCTCTGATGCCTAATAAGGCCTGTCCTCCAAGCAAAGCTTTGTCCATATTCATCACAGTTATGTTGTCTTCTTTTAAAGAGGTTCTGATCCTTTTCATTTAATTTATCCCCAAATTCACAAAATTCTCTGCATTCAGATTCCTGGAGAACATTGTCTTTGGGGTTGTCAGACTCCTCAGTTAGTAGTTCAGTTTTTGCTGTAATATCCTCCTCTGAAGTCAATTCTCCAAGCTTGGTCTTAATCTCACCATCTGGAACAATAAACAAAATCCAAATGGAATGTGTTCTCCACACTGTAAGAAAGTTTCAGGTAAAACAGATTGGTATTTACCTTTAAAATGTCATCACAGCCCCGGTTAGTGTGGCTCAGTGGACTGATAGCTAACCTGTGAACTGAAGGGTTTCTGGTTTAGTTACTGGTCAGGGCACATGCCTGGGTTGTGGACCAGGGCCCTGGTTGGGGGCATGTGAGAGGTGACCAATCGATGTTTCTCTCACACACTGATACTTCACTCCCTCTCTTTCTCCTTTCCCCTCCCTTCCCCTCTCTCTAAAAATAAATGTTTTTAAAAACATCATCTCAATATAGGAGTGCTGCAAAACACAAAATTATCCTCTGAGAGGGAAACTAGGAAGCATCAATAAATAATGGCTCACAATAACTGTTTAGAGAAGTGTCTTACCAGATTTAATCTGTATATGTTTGTCACAGGAGATCTGGGAATACTGAAACCTAATCACAGTGATTAGGGAAGTTTGACTAAAGCAAAGCTGATACATAAGCAATTTATGAACATTTGTAAGGTAAGCAGTGTGAGAGTCGGGGGTGGGTGGAGGGGACGTGGGAGGGGGCAGCAGTGCCCAGGTTGTCACTGGGAGGGTGTACCACCAGGCTGGGCAGAGGCTGCGGGTAAGGTAAAGAAAGAAGCAGTATGCCCAGGAATGGTCAAGACAGAATCCTAAATTATTAACAAAAATTAGGTCTATAGATAATCCTCCATCTTTTTTGTCCTGTTACCAAGGAAGTAGCCAAGAATGCATGATCGTTCTTTTGAAAAAGTCAAATTCTTTGAGCAAACTTCCTTACTGAGGTGTGTAAATCAGGAAAAGCATACAGAGGTGGGGTCAGAAATCTCCTTTGAGTTGAATTTGAGAAGGCCATTCCTATGCTCAGCAATATCAGATGCCTGTGGTGGTAGGAAGCATGAGAGCTCCACTGAGTTTCTTTTCTCCGTTTCCCTTTCCTTCTCTGTTTCCCTTTTCCTTTCCCTCTCTCCCTCCCTTCATTTCTTGACTTTATTTATTTTTAGAGAGAGGGAACGGGAGGGAGAGAAACATCGATGTGAGAGAGAAACATTGATTGGTTGCCTCTTCCACGCACCCCAATGAGGAACCCAACCTGAAACTCAGGCATGTGCCCTGACCAGGAATCAAACTAGCGACCTTTCTCTTTGGGTATGATGCCCAACCAGCTATGCCACACAGGTCAGGGTGCTCCATTGAATTTTTTTATTGTTGGCCCATTGTTAAGTGGTGTTTACTATAGAAGGCACACACTTGTCAGACTCCGAATGGTTTAGAGAGCTGAAACCATGACACAGACAAGTTTTAAAGGCAAAAGTCCCAATCCCAAGCCTTCAAGTGTCTCGGTAAATCTAATTGTGTGCTGACTGATTTATGCAATATGAATGTCTTAGGGAGTTTACAATATATGTAGAATTAAAATACATGGCAAAAAATAGTACAATGGAAGGGAGATAAGCAGAACTAAAATATTACAAGGTCTTTGGATTTTCCTAGAAGTAGTAAATTAAGATAAGCCATAATAAATTCAATGTGTATGTTGTAATTTCTAAGGCAACCTTTTCCAGCCAGGTTCCGTGAGAAAATAAAACAGAAGATGATTTGAGTGACTATTTTCTTAATTCTCCCAAAAAATGATACATAGCTAGTACCATAATAGATATATAGGAGAGAAAGTAATACATTATTTACAATGGATGCCTTAGACTTTGGCTTACTCATCTCACAGAATCGTATCTGAGAAAGACTGCTATAAGGTAACCATTAAATAACAATAAAAGAATATATAAACAATAAATTAATAGAAAAAAACCCCTGGTAATGCAAAGTTAGGCTAAAAAAAAGACAAAAGAAATAAAACATGAGATAAATAAAAATAAATAAGGAGATGGTACTTTTAAATCCAAACATCAGCTATGCTTTATGTAAATTTACTACTCCAATAAAAAACAAAGAAAACCCAGCAGCTAACGTAATACTTAATGGTTAAATAATGAATGCTTTTCTTCTGGAAACAAGGGAGCAAAACAGGGATGCCCTCTCTTACCACTTATATTCAACATTGTACAGCTTCCATTCAATATTCCTAGCAATACAATGAGACATTAAAAATAACTGAAACATATAAATAAGAAAAAAGTCAAACTGTCTTTACTTATAGACTACATAAAAAAGAACTACATATATAAAAAATCCTGAAGTATCTCACAAAAGCTATTAAAACTTGTAAATGAGTTTATCACAGCAATATACAAAAACCAATTATATTTCTGTATACTAGCAATGAACAATTAGAATGAAAATATAAAACATTTTTTATTGTATCAAAAATACTTAGAAACAAACTCTACAAAATATACACGATAGTTGTATAATGAAAACAATAAAACATTGCTGAAATTAAAGACCTAATAACTAGAAATAAATGCCATCATTTATGAATAGAAAGACTTAATATTGTTAAGATGGTAGAACTCTCCCCAAAATGATCTATAGATTCAATGCAACCCCAATCAAAATCTCAGCAGTCTTTTTTTGTAGAAATTGACAAACTGACTCTAAATTTTATGTACAAAGGCACAGAGAGCCTAAACAATTTTGAAGAAGAACAAAATTGGAGAAGTTACACTATTTGATTTCAGGCTTTAATATAAATCTACAGTGATTAAGGCAGTGTGTTAATGGCATAAGGATAGACATGCCCATTAACAGAATAGAACAAAGAGTAAATAAATAGATCCAAACATATATGTACAACTGATCTTCACAGTTGCGAGATAAGTCGATGAAAGGATAGTCTCTTTTCAATGAAATATCATAGAACTGGATATTACAATGACCAAAATCAACTCCAGCTCTTTCCTCGTGCTATGCACAAAAATTAACTAGAAATATAACCTAAACCTAAACATAAAAGCTAAAACTATAAAACTCCTAGAATAAAGCATAGATGACTAAAACTAATGCATAGAACTTAAGAAAATAAATTTGTGTTGTTTAAACCATGCAGTCTGTGACATTTTGTTATGGCAGCACTAGCAGGCAAATACGGAATGTTTTAAAATTTTATACATTTATGGAATTATATCACCTGTATTTTGTGACTTGGTTTTTTTTGCTTGACATTATGTTTGGAAGATTCATCCATATTCATGTCTCTAGCTGTAGTACATTCATGTTCACTACTACAGTGTGACATACACCACAATTTATTTACCCATTTTCCTTCAATGGACAATAACATTTGGCTACTACAAACAATGCCAATATGATTATGCTGGTACATCTAACTCAGTGCACATATCCAGGTGTTTCTGTAGGTTATAAAAACTTCAGATCAGAATTGGTGGGTCTTCAACTAGGTATTTCCAAAGTAGTCAAACCAATTCACACTTCCATCAGGAATGGAGAAGAGTTAACATTGCTCTGTTTTCTAACTAACACTAAGGCTCTTTTTTAAAGTGTATTGTATCAGGCTCCTATCTCTATAACTACATTGAAACTACAGTTATTAAAGTCCCTAACAAGTTCTATCTTGACAAATCCAATGGTCAATTATCGATCTTACTCTTTTTAATTTTTTTTTAATTTTTAGAGAGAGGAGAAGGAAGGGAGAGAGGGAGAGAAACATTGACGTGAAAGAGAGACATGGATCAGTTGCCTCTCATACGCACCCAGATCCAGGACCCAACTGGAAACCCAGGCATGTGCCCTGACTGGGAATTGAATCAGCAACCCTTTGCCTCAGGGAGTGACACCCAACCAACTGAACCGCACTGGTCAGGGCTTATTCTTTCAAAAATTAATTAATTAATTTGTATTGTTGCCACTATTACAGATGTTCCCCATTTTCTCTTGATCTTATTCTTGATTTATTTGACACAGTTGATTACTCTCTTAAAACTTATGCTTTTTTCTTGCTAACTTACCCTTAACTTATTCTCCATACAACAGTCAGAGTGATGTTTCCATGCTATTATCCTATGTAAGGACTTCCAATGGCTTCCCATTAAACTGGGAATAAATTCCCAAATACTTCCTATGGCTTGAAATCTTCTATGATCCGGTCCCTATCTGTCTTCATTTCATCCCACCATCTCTATTACCTGTCTAGCCCAGGCTCACTCTGTTCCTGATACATCTAGGAACTTCTTGCATTTGCTATTCCCTCTGCCTGGAACACTCTTCTCTCAAATAGTCAATGGCTTGTTCTCTAACTTCATTTATTATCTCCAACCATTTTTTACCAACTCAGAGAGGCACAATGCTTGGTGAGTCCTGGATTTTGAGGTAACAGATACCAAAGCAGATTCCAGTTTGCACTTGGACACTAACAGAGACTTAATACTTGACCACAGAATGCCAAATGACTATTACAAACTGACCATTGTGTGGCAGTTGGTATTTAATCCGCCAAATCATAAAAGTGGACATTCAAACCTGCATTCCATGGTGAAAGCAAGTCTGGAACACAAGTGAATTTTTCTGTGTGTCAGTGACTCAGATTCTCACAGTGCCTGTTCCTGTTTCCACTATCCCTGTCCCTCACCCTATATTCATGGCCTCATGGGAATTCGCTAACACCAGTTAACAAAGATTGAAAAAGTCCAGAACTGGTTTACAGATGAGTCTGCCCATGTGTGGGCACAAGCTGAAAGCGAATAGCTTTCACTTATGCCTACTGTGGTCTCAAACACACCAGTGATGGCAAATGTTCCTAGTCGGCAGAACTTCAGGTACACACCTAGTTGTCCCCTTTTCAGGGAAGGCAACATAGCCTAAAATACTAGTCTATATTGACTCAGGAGTAGTGACTAATGGGTTACCGTATTAATTAGGTACCTGGAAAGAATAAGACTGGAAGACTAGAAACAAGGATTCGGGAGGAAAAGTATGAGGATGGACCTAGAGTAAGCAAAGAATAAATATATTTCTGTTCCATGCGAATGCTCATCAAAGGGCATCCCCCATGAAAAAGCCTCCCTATAAGATGGACATGA